TATTTTTTCTTTTATCACCCAACTCCTTTTTTCCAACTCTATGAGCTCTTTCAACTTCAATATTACCATTTAGTCCCAATTTATCTTTTAAAAGTTCTTTTATTTTACCTACAGTTTCTTGCCAGGTTTCAATTTCCTTTTCTTCTATACCATTAAATCTCAAATTATTACCTTCCTTATGTTTGTTATGGAAATCATGGTTGAAATAATTTTAAAAGTTGAAATTTTTCATTCAGATTACTGATATTACTTATGCCATCTTTTAGTAGTTTAGCTTTTCTTTTAATAACACTAATGTCCCAAGAAATTAGACTTAATTTGTTATGGAGAGGCACAGTGAATCGAGGTACAGTGAATAGGTTGATTCACTATGCCCAATTAATGATCTTAACAATTAAATTCATGCATTTTTAACAAGCAAACTACATGTGAAACTACTTTAGTGATTTATTAACATGAAGGATATATATCTCATTTCTTTCGACTTGAAAAAAATAAAATACATATTTTAACTTTTGCTTAATTTAAAAAATAAAGAAATTCGATCCATTGTGCCCCAACTTCTCCTACTACAAAAAACTTTGTATAATTTACTCAATTTATTTCATTTTTATAGATTGACAGTTTTGGCTAATTTAACGGAAGATTAATAGGTTGTCTTCTTATATTGAAGAGAGTAAAAAATGTTTTACACAATTTAATGTTAATTTAACAGCTATAAACCATTGATTAAAGCTTTCTAGTTTATTTTTCATGAAAAATCTCAAATGAAAAAATAAATATAAATAAAATAATATTTTACTCATACTCTCGGTAACATAGATAGTTATATTACTGGTAATGTCGTCATAATGATATAACCAATCTATGTTACCGAGATTATCGGTTATCGATATAGTTCAAATAATTCTTTTTTAAGTTCGTATTTTTTAATTTTTTCATTACTCATGCTAGTCGCGGTTTTCTCTCTTAAGTATTCATCACACGCTTTAGTCAACTGAACAATATTAGATGCAACAGAGGCGCCTACATTAACAAAATATTTGTTAAACTCTTGTCATTTTTTTTACTTGTTATAACTTTGATGTTAGTAACCTTTTTTTTGTTGAAAGTATCTTTTTTTCTCTTACAATTAATTCATTTTTAATAGACCAGGTTTTTTTGATATCTTGTTTTTATTTTGCTCGTTAGACCAGGTTTTCTTGTTATCTTGTTTTTATTTGGCTCGTTAGAATACTACTTAACTTTAGCATGATTTTGAACTTTTTGTATATACTTTTCGTCATTTTCTTTTTTATATCACATATTTTTAATTTTGGAAATTTTATATAAAACTTTTGTTTTCGTTTTGATGATTTTATGAAATTATTTGTCATCAGTAAGTTTTTAAGTTTTTTATTTTTTATTTGTTTATTTTTTATTTCAGTAGTTAGTTTAGGACATTGTCATAAATATTTTGAAAAGTATACGAAAAACTGTCAAACGCGCAATTGGGGTCCGCAGAGGAATAGACGTTTCCTATCGTTTTTTGTACAGTTTCTTTTTAAGTTTATCTAGGGTTTTAAAACAAATATTTTTTTTAGAGATAAATATTTTTTTATTGTCGTTATTAAGATTATTATAAAAATTAATTTGCTTACCGCATCGCGGTCGATAAAGCAAGGATATTAAAAAAGGTTTTATTTAGAATTTATATACACTAAGTTTCAATATGTTTGTATGCTTTACGGAAAGTCTTTTTTGCTTTAAACGTATACATAACAAGACGTGTTTTAAACGTTTACAAAAAGTATTAATACGTTTTATAACGTACTTTACACGTCTTAATCACGTCTTGTGCCTACTGGGTAACACGTAATTGACTTTTCTGACGAAGGCAGTTTTGCATCTTCCCGTGTTTCTGAGATACATATAACATCAAAAAGATGGTTTATAGAGTAAAAAAACCGTTTAAAAGGTTCAAAGTTTTTATACATTAGCTATATATTTGTAACTAAGATGCTCAAATCTTTATTGTTTTGTTTTATATCAAATTTGTCCGGTTTAAAGTATGAAAACTATATTCATTTTTGTTAATTCTATAAAATTTTAAATTGGAGACTCAAAGTTTTCAAAATTATTTGTTACACTATTCTTGTTAGTTAAACTCATTTTCTTTTTCAATTATTAAATATTTTTAAGTAAGTCAACATAATAAAATTAAAAAAAAAGATATTTCAACTAATTTTGTTTTCACATATCTTAGTTTACCGTTGCATTGTATATACTTGACATTTCTCTTGCGACCAAACAATTGTATACTACTTTTGCATATTTTTCCTGACTTTGCAAATAATTTCTTGAGGATTCTCATAGTTTCTTCTTTTTATGGACAATTCCTTATGTTTAATTCATTCGATTTGTGACGAGAAAAAAAAAGTTCACGAGTTGTTATGTTTTTACTCTTTATGGTAAATTGGAATATATCTCAAAATAGCATAACAATGTGTTAACACGTTTTCGTAGCGACGTCTCCAATTGACGTTGCAACGTCTTTTAACAATCAATAGATCTTTTCTAAAATTTAAAATTCACCCTTTTTTTAATCAAATTTACAATTAATTAAATTAAAATTACAATAACCGTATTTAATGATAATAATAATTTATATCATAAACAGAGGTATATCCAGCTATTTTAAGAAAAATAGGTATCTTCTAGTCATCAAACAAACTCCAAATATTTATATGTTTATACTTATGTCAAATAAGAATATTTTGCAAAAAATAGAGATGTGGAGCCTAGAAACAAAAATAGCTTAAAACTTCCATTCCCTCTGCCCCAAATGTGAGAGCAACAAGTTGATAAATTGTTTTTTGTATTTTTCTCAATTTTATTTATATTTATCAATAGATTTTGAACTTCATAGTATAAATCTCTCAGAGTTCAAAAATTATGGGTTTACAAAATTTGAACCCCCTCTCTCAATTTGAGGGAATTAAACATTTTATATGGTCATCATTTTTGAACGCTGAGAGATTATACTGGGACGACTATATAAACGCGAAATTTATAAATGAGAACTGGCATAAGTGTGAATGGCGTAAGCGCGAACTGGCATAAGCGCGAATTGGCAAAATGTGCGAACTGGCATAAGTGCGAAGCGTTGCAAAAACTAGTAAAAGTGCGAACTGGAAAAAGTACGAATTGGCAAAGTACGCCAAAAAAGTTTGCAAGCATTGGCATAAGTGCGAATTGGCATAAGTGCGCTAAACAAACTTGAAAACATTGGCATAAGTGAGAGTCGCCATATGTGCGAACTGGTATAAGTGCAAATCAGTTACAAAAACTGGCACAACTGCGATTTGGCATAAGTGCGCCAAACAAATTTGTAAACATTGGCATAAGTGCGAATTAGCATAAGTGCGAACTGGCATAAGTGCGAAGCAATTACAAAAACTGGCATAACTGCGTATCGGTATAAATGCGCCAAATAAATTTGCAAACATTAGTATAAGTACAAACTGACATAAGTGCAAATTGGAATAAGTGCGAAATACTAATTTGCACTTACGCCATTATTTGAAATTTTATTCGGCGCACTTTTGCCAGTTCGCACTTATGACAATTCGTACTTATGCCAATATTTGCAAGTTTATTCGGCGCAGTTATGCCAGTTCGCACTTATGACAGTTTTCGTAACTGCTTTGCACTTATGCCATTTGGCACTTATGCCAGTTCGTACTTATGCCAATATTTGCAAGTTTATTGGGCGCAGTTATACCAGTTCGCACTTATGCCAATGTTTGCAAAATGTTTTGGCGCACTTATGCCAATTCACACATATGCCAGTTCGAGTTTTTGCAACGCTTCCCACATACGCCAATTTGCGCTTATGCAGCCTCCCAATTATACTATGAAATTTAAAATTTTTGATGAATATAAATCTTATTGAAAATAATACAAAAAATATTTTAGTAACTTGTTGCTCTCACGTTTGGACCAGAGGGGCAAAAATTTTAGGTTTTTATAATTCCAGGCTTCCATCATCTCAATGTTTTGTAAAGCATCCTTATTTGACATATTTATAAACATATAAATTTTTAGAGTTCGCTCCATGTCTGGAAGTTTGCCATTTCAAAGACCAAAAAATGCTGAATCCGCACCTGATCACAAGATTAAGTACTTTAATTATTATTATCTTTTTTAATACACTATCTTATAATACAATAATTTTCAAATACATATAAATAAACATTTTTTAAAATTATTCAAATTTAACGTTCTTGCCATTGTAAAACTGTATACCCTACAGTTTATTTATAATAAACTATAGACTTTCCAGACCGTTTATTTTGTTCCAAACCGTTTCTAAAAATTATTATTTGCATAGCGAAGTAGATGTTTAAAAAAATACGTAAAAAAATACGTAAGTACTATTTTTTAAAATTTTAAATTTTGTGTAGAGATAGCCATCTTGAAAAAAACAGCGGTTTATACACTTTTTTGATATTAAATTTAAGTAACTCAAAAAATAATTAACTTCATCTTATATTACTTGTATAAAATTACTGATACCAGAAAAATATTTTATCAAATTAAAAGTTTTAAAAATCAAAAAGCCTCTGCAAACCTGGTTTATATATACGTTATATATAAGTTTTTTAAAGTCTACCTTAAGCTGATAAAATAAAACTGTATAGAAAAAAAAAATTTAAGACTTGTTTAATCACACATAGAGACTCATGCAAAAGAAGTTTATATAAACAAACAAAAAAAATCAAAAATAACAAAACTTAAATAAACAAACTAACACTACTAAATAAACAACTTGTTTTTTGTTAAAATATTTTGATAATATGTAACAAAATATTTCGACATTTTAATTTCTATATTTTGGTATTAATACTAAATATCATATTATTATATTAAATATCAAAATTATTGCGAAACAAGTTTTAAGCGCTACTTAAAGCGTATGTGACAATAGATTATCAAAAGATTGGGTCTAGTTTGAAAGATGTAATAAAAAAAAAATGTTTTTTTTTTGAATCATATTAATTCAGTAATTTAATTTGACCTTTTACTTTACATAGTCGAAATCTTATTGATTGAAAGTGAATTAGATAAAATATTGGCTCCAATAACTTTTGGTGTACTATTTTCTTTTACTTCGATATCATTAAAGTGCAATTCAGGTTGTTGATTGCCATCATTTCTTTTATTAACTTTGTTCAAAATAAATTTTAAAATAAAAAACGAAGCTAATGCAGCAATTGTGCATGTATATAAAACAAAGTTTGCAGCTTTTGGAGAACCGAAACTGCCGATTAGTGAAAAGAGTGACCAAAATGGCAAGTTAGATGCCTTGATGATTACGTACAAGTGTTGATGCGCATTTTCCCTAAAACTACCAAAGGCTGCCCAGCAATGTAAATATTTTTTTCCACTTAATAAACCATATAGTAATATTAATAAGTTAGCTGAACTAGACCAGCAGATAACAATTGATAAAAATAGAACGCTGTGCCTGGAGTCTTTGTTTTCAAGATGATAAAATTTAAAAATAATATTACCCGCCAACGGGCAAAGACAAGAAAAAGCTAAGAATATTTTTTGGAGATGCAACATTAATGTTGTGACTGTTTTAAACAAATGTAGAACTGTATGATTGGTGTACCAAAGTAAAGAAACCATCGTAAACGCAGCTAGAAAGGTTAAAAACTGTAATTTCATAACTGCAAGAGACGTGCTTAAACCGCTTTCTTTAATACTTGCTTTCGTTGGAATGTTCTCAATTGTAATATCAAGAACAAGAATGCTAGCAATGATGGCTGTAGCAGCGTCACTCATTGACTCTACTCTGTCTTTTGATATATTTCCTTTCGAAAAATAAAAAGAAAACATCTCCTTCTTCTTATTGATGGGGTTTGAAATTCTTCTCTGGTAAAATAATATAAGTTTGCGAATTGTTGGCATAAATGTAAAAATTCCAATTATTACCCATGAGACTATGTAGTGAACAAAACAAAAAGTAGCTCCCAGTATTATCATAGCTAAACTTATTGACGGCCTGATAAGAAACCTGTTTCGAAATCTTTTAAGTTCAATTTTGTTCCAGTTTTGCATCTCAATATGAAGAACCTTAGGTGTATTCATAGCATATAAAACTAAAATAATATCTATTATTTGAATAAGTCCTAAAATACTGCACGTAAGGATTATAGAAACTTTTTCGTCACTAAAATTACCCTGCAATGCTAACGAAAAAGGAAGAACGGAAGTTGCTAAATGACTGACAATAACAAATATTAGGATAAAATCATCTACTCTTTTGACAACCATTGCTCGAATGTTGATGTTTTCCCATATGTTAAGAACTACAATAAAACCAAAAAAGAACATGACAAATTGGGCACGAATTCTGAGAATAAAACTCCATAGCGATTCGTTAGCTTCCATTTCTCTTAAATTTCTTATCGGAATAACAAGAAACGTAGCGCAAGTAGCCATAAGCGCATCAGTGTAACCGAGCAAACGATCTGCTGAAACTACATCTCCTCGATGCAAGGCGTTGCTTAGTATTTCATTTAGATGTTCATCATAGTGTTCTTCTATAGTTCTTAGATGGCTTAAATATTTGTTTTTTTCTAATTCTGCCGTAATTTCATTTTCCATTTCTAAATTTCAAAAAAGGTTAATAGCAAAATAAAAAGTAAAGGTTATACGAGTTTTTTTAGTAAAATTTTAAATTATATTTTTACTGTCTTTATTTTTACTCCATAATTAGAACTGCATTAACAGCGCTGAATCAGCATCAACAGCATTAAGCCGACATCAATAGAATTAACTTAACATAAATTAACTAATTTATGGATAGACACAGCTAAATCCCGCTTTAGTGTATAAGAGGGGCATTGACTATTTTTTTGGTTTTGTAAGCATTTTTGGCAAGCGGATACCATTTACGGTTTACATAAATTAACACAAAAATAAAATCTTAATTATTTAATCAAATTAATTGTTAAACTGTTAAAATACTTAAAAAATAATTATTCCTTGTATAAAGTGTTAATAAAAAGTGATAGCATTTATTTAAAAATTTAAAAGGTTTGTCCAAAAAAAAATTTTTAGCGTTTAAAACGCGTTTTAAACGATTTTTCTTATGAATTCCGATTTTTTTTATTTTTTATTTTTTTATTTATTCCGATTATATTATTCCGAATTTTATTATTTTTATTTTCGTTTTTTTTATTTATTCCGATTTTTTCGAATTCCGATTTTTTTATTTTCATCAAAACTTGGATTCCCTTTTTAAATTACGTTAACGTGATTTAAAACAGGAATCCAAGTTTTGACGAAAATAAAAAAATCGGAATTCGAAATTAAATTTTTTTGGAATTCGACGGTATTTTAAATTTTTTTATGTCTATAAAAATAATAAAAATAACTTATTTGAAATAATTGATTGTTATTTATTGCATAAAAAATACTTTTCTTGCAATGTGGTTTTCAGAGCCGTAATGCATTTACGGCTCGTAATGCCTCTGCAGGGAAACGTCTTTCAACAGGCACTAAACCTTAATTCCAAAACTGTTTCTTGCCATAGATATTTACATTTAAACAACATCGGCTTCTTGAAGATGTCCATTCATCTAGAGTATAGCAAAATCTTATGCCATCTTCTTTTAATTTTAAAAAATCCTGCATCATTTTAGCCCGTATTTTTTGTGCGTATTTTAAAACCATTTTGTGAATCGAGTTAGGTGATTTTGGTAATACATAATCTCGAGCGCCTCTAGCCAAAAACAAATTTCTCAAATCGATAGACGTACTAAAACTTTGAATGACATATTATCTAAGGCACACACTCGTAATGCAATTGCAGAAAATGATTCATCTTTTTTGTTGAATAAATAGTTTTTAATCAACATTTTTGATGCACTGCTTTCTGGACCTTCATCTTGCTCGACATCCCGTTTTAATACATTGATATTGTGTATTGTTCTTAAATGCGTGTGCTGCGGTGTTTACCAGCGTTGAACCAGCGGTTTTTACTATTTCATAACATATTCTACATTTTGCTGTTAGTCTTTTTGATCCTCTTAAGAAATGAATCCAAACAGAATTTTAATTTTTACATTGCTTTGTGTTTTCCAAACAACTTTCCTTTGAAGACATTTTACGATGTACTGTTGATAATAATTTAACTTGTTAAACAAAATAAAATTAGAATTAAATAGTTATCAAATAATGTTGTTAAAACAAACTGCTATTATTTCTGCTATTATTAACTTACCTATTTAAAAAATATTGATCCAAATAATTTAATACACACCGCACTCCAATAAGCAAACCTCAACACTGTTGAAAATCGTAAAATATAAGACACAAACACGAGGTTATACCAAATATAAAAACTATTACACGTGGATACGAAATGAAGACAGAAAACCATTAACTGCAATTAAGTAATAACGCAATAACGCAAAAAGTAAATCTCAACAAATTATTACACGTGGATATGAAATGAAGACATTAACCGTCAACAGCAGTTTAGGAATGTTTCTTTATGTGTACTTGTATAATGCAGGTTAACTGTAATTTACAATTGTTTTCTTTATTTCTTTTTATAGAATGAGAATGTAGAATATTTATATGCACAGAAACAAAAACACAATTTAAAAGTTAGAGAGCACGAAAAAATAAATTTTAAATTCGGAATTCGCTAGAATAATTTTTGTAATTCGAAACTATATTATGAAAACGAATTCCGGAATTCTCGAATTTCAAATTTCGAGATGCAACCCTAAAAACATGTTTAAAAAATCATTAAAAACTATTTTTGTAGTTAAAAGTCTAAACCTCGAAATTTAGCGTAGGTCTAGCTATCTAAGAAACTATAGTGTAATATATAGGATCTAATATTCTTGGTTCAGAATCTTAGTACAATAAATTAAAATTAAACTCAACTTTTCTATCCTAATCACAATGGTTATACCTGTCGGTGTGTTACTTCTTGAATTTTGTAGAGTTTTTGATTTTTTCCGAAATGTAAATTCGTTGACTAATTGAATTATCTTTGTTAAAAACATTTTTTACTTAAAAACGTCTATAAAAAATACAAATAATCATTAACAATAAATACACTAGTATTATTTTATTAATTATAATAAGTCTTAACTCAATGAATATTAGTTTACGAGGTACTTTTACCCAAATGTTCCTTTCTTTAATGTTAGCTTGCTGATCGTTCAGCAGCTATTTGTTTTCTTAGCTTCCTGCATTTTTAAACAACTATTCATTAAAATAAAAAAATTGACTGTAAAACGAAATGAATGAATGAAATAGTTTTCAACTTATTCTTTATTTTATCTTTTTTATTTTTGCGATTTGTAACGGTAATAACGTTTAAAAATAAATCAATTTTTAAACGTTAAAAATTGATTTATTTTTAAACATTATTAAAAATAAATCAATCAATCAATTTTTTTTTCAATTGCTTTATTCTCAATTTGTATTCTATCTTAATGTTTAATGAAAAAAATTATCCGATGAATAAGTAACGTTTTTTTTTCCTCCACAGAATACGCAATAGTTTATTTACCGTAGTCATAAAAAGAAACGTTCGTTCTTATTACTGTTTAAAGTATTAACTCTAAAACTGCTTGAAGCATCAGATCTTTTTGTGCAACGATTTGATGGTATTACTCAGTTGAAAAACTAACTGATAATAACATTAACGCTTTTTACCCTGTTCACGTCAACTGTTTTTATTTTAACTAAACTGCTAAAAACGAAATTGATATTTATGGACTTTTTTTTAGGGCATTTCAATTACCAATTTAATGCTTGCAATGAGTCAATAACCTTTAACTTATATACAAATGCTAAAAATTCAATTTTTGGATTATGGAAATTCTAGATCCTCTAAACAATAAGAAATCAATCACCTTTTTTTCTTTTTTCTTTTTTATCAACCAGGAAATAACTATTATTAACTGTAAAACAGCAAAAAGTGATAAACGAAGTCTTGTTTTATAAAATCGGAGATAATGATTAACCCCGATATAATAAAACTAGATTTACCTAAATGACAAGGAAGGAGTAAAATGTAATTACAAGTAGGGAAGGAGTAAAATGGGACAATGCTTTTTGTCTTACCAAAAATCACACAAAACTATTCTTGTTATTTATTTTATCTTTCACTGTATAGTTGTTGTTTGCGCATGAGCATAGAAGTTGTTGCAATACAATTTTTGGCAAAAAATGTTTAGTCTTTTTTTACTTTAAAAATAAAGGTACATAAACAATAAATTATTATGCAGGTTAATCAAAAAATGCCTTAAATTTAAATGATTCCGATTCGAGGCATTTTTTTGATTAACCTGGACTAATGACTCATAATATGGATATGGATACACATATAAAAAATGGATATGGATATATATAGAAAATTTATAGAAAAAAGTTTGGGTTTTCAATAACCAGTGTTATTTTTTAACCAACCGAAAAAATTTGTTGTCCAAAAATAGTGAAAAAGTCATTAGCACAGATTAAAAGTAATGTATTATTAGCAAAACTCATTAGCACAGATTAAAAGTAATGTGAAAGAAATGTGTCAAAGCAACAACCAGTGGCCAATTTAGTTTTAAATTGGGTAACCAAAAATCAAGACCTATGTTACATTCTCAATAGTTGACAACTGCTTGTAAAAAAATATATCTATACAAAGCCTAAGAAAATAGCTAAACTTTTTCGTCACTAAAAGTACCCTGCAATGCTAACGAAAAAGGAAGAACGGAAATTCTTAATCTTAAATTTGAAGAAAGATATAATTTGCTTTAGTAGAAAACTTATGGATATTAATGGCAACCAATAAAAATATTCGTAAATTAATACTCTATCGTTTACTTGCTGCTAGATTGACGAGAAAACTAACTTGAAAAAGTATGGAAATAATAAAACAAACTGGTAACTAACTTATCAAAATATGTTCAGCCTTTGAATTATTTAGTAAATATTTGTAACTGATATTATGGTAGCCGAATAACTAAACTTTAAAGTTACTTTAATATTTTATAAGCTAACTGGAAAAAATTAGGCTATTCAATATTTTTTTTTTTTTTTTTTAAAAAAAGAAAAAAAAAGTAAGAAGAATAATAGTAAAGAAAAAAACAATATTAAATAATATTAATCATAAATAAAAGATTTAATTTTTAAAATATTATACAAATTTAAATATGTTTATATAATTTCTTTTTAATACAAAATTTTTAGAGTAAGAATGTTTTACAATAACTTTGTATTTCATAACTCTTACAATATTTGTGGCGTGCTCTCCACGTCCATATATAAATATTTTAAGTCTTTTATGAAATGTAAAGCACAAAGAATTGTTTGGTTCGATTTAAAAAATTTTTTAAATTAGGTTTGTCTGTGTGTTTCGGATTGTTGCCTTCGAGTAAACAAAAAAAAAAAAAAAAAATTTAAATGAGATTTCGAGGCTTCTATAAAAAGCAAGATTTTTGTGGAATCCAAATATAAGACAAATTTTTTTTTTAACTTGTAAAAAATCCCAGTAAGCACAGAACGTTTTTAAAACGTTTAAAAAACCTATTAATATGGTTTTTAACGTTTTTTAAACGTTTTAAAAACAATCTGTGCTAACTGGGATGGTATTCAAAAAACGCAGAATAAAATTTTAGTTTTGAAAATATGAGTTTTGTTAACTCATCTGGGGCGTTTACACATCCATTAAAAACAATTTTCAGATCAACATTAGCATCAAGCCAACTCCCAATCTTAAATGGAAAGATCAAATTACTATATCAAATAATAGAGTAGTTTAAATTGCAAAAATCAACTTATAAGATCTCTTTATTTAACATTCGTTCGTCTTCTTAAATTTGCAGCTTCTAGTTTGGTCTTCTTAAATGTAAATATACTGTAATGCAGTTTAAATAGTGTAACAAAGAGAAACTAAAATTGTTTTATCTATTATTAGTCTTAAATATGAAGATAGTTTTACGCTTAATTACATGTGTATATATATTGGCTTAATAATTTATTTTGATTTGTGAAATTTTTAAAAATATTTGCAATAATTAGATAACTGAAAATACCCTGAAATAGAGTATTTCGTTTTTTATATATATTGCAAATACTTGAAACAAGGCTAAAATAAAATGCTCTTTCCAAAAACGTGTAAAATTTTAAAATGACTCTGATTTAAATACCAGATTAGGGATGGCAATCCCGAGATCCCAGGATCCCGAAATCCCAGGATTTCGCACAAATTGTTTATACCGAAATCCCGTGATTAGTCTCCGAAATTTTCGGGATTTCGGGATCGTCAAAAAAAAGGAAAAGTTAATAAAGTTTAAGCTTATAATTGTAGTTTAGTAATTTTTATATCGTCTTTGGTATAGTAGCTGTAGGTTGTGTAACTATTTATTCTCTTTGCAATGTTTTCCTTTTAAAACTCTCTTTTTCTGTATTTTTATAATAAAAAAATAACTCAAAACATTATTGCTTGTCTGCAAAATGTTTATATGTTAATATATATATATATATATATATATATATATATATATATATATATATATATATATATATATATATATATATATATATATATATATATATATATATATATATTTATGAAAGCTAAAAAAACATATTATAGTAAAGAAATTACAAAAAAACAAATAGATGTGAAAAAAAAGATGGGATTTAATTAACGATATAATGGAAAGAAAGAAAACAAATATGGCTATACTACCTCAAAGAATTAATATCAATAAAACTGATATCTATTGTCCATTACAAATCTCGAATGAGTTAAATAAATATTTTACAAATATTGGCCCTAACCTTGCTAAAAAAATCATAACTACACCAAATTCTTTTCAAAAATATCTTAAATCTTTAAATGGCGCGATACTGCAAGATCGCGAATTTTCTCATGAAGAGTATGAAATTGCTTTTTCTTTTTGCAAAAAGAATAAATCACCTGGTTTCGATGATGTTTCTAATAATATAGTTATATCAAACAAAAAGTACATCTCAAAACCTTTGTTCCATATTCAATAAAAGAAGGAATTTTTCCTGAAGCATTAAAGTTGGCAAAAGTATGTCTAATTTACAAAAATAATGATCAATCTGAAATCTCTAATTACAGACCTGTATTCAGTACTTTCTGTATTTTCAAAAATATTTGAACGTGTAATTTATTATAAAATCTATAACCATTTTAATGAAAATAATTTATTTTACACAAAACAGTTTGGTTTTCGGAAAAAATCGTTCAACAGAACACGCAATAGTTGAAATAGTAGATCAAATTACTAAAGTATTTGAAAATAATAGCTTAACTCTAGGATTAATTATTGACCTATCAAAAGCATTTGATACGGTTGATCACCTAATTCTTTTTGAAAAAATAAAACACTACGGAGTGATAAATAAAACCTATGATTAGTTAAAAAGCTACCTCACTGAGAGAAAACAATATATTATTAGTAAGGAATCAGGTCAACTTAATATTTTGTGTGGAGTTCCACAAGAGTCAATTCTTGGTCCATTGCTTTTCTTGATTTATGTAAATGACTTTAATAATACAGCTAAGCTTAACTCAATAATGTTTGCTGACGACACAAATCTCTTCCTTTCAAACTGTGACTTTAATCAACTGTATTCTGACATGAACTCTAAACTAATGAATGTAAATGAATGGTTTAAGGCAAATAAACTTTTCCTCAATGTAGATAAAACAAAATATACTTTATTTCATAAAGAATCACAAGGTGAAAAACCTCCTTTAATATTACCTGATTTGATTTTAAATGATGCACTAATTAGTAAAAATGATTCAATAAATTTCTTGGAAATTCTTATTGATGAAAATTTATCATGGCTTCCCCATATTTATTACATTCAATCTAAAATTAGTAAAACAATTGGTCTGATGTACCGTATTTGTTCATATGTAACATCAGAAAGTCTGAAATTAGTATATTTTTGCCTAATACATTGTTTCATATACTATGCCAATATCATATGGGCTAGTACTCAACCAACAAAACTTAAAAAAATACTCTCTTTACAAAAAAATGCATGCAGAATTATATATATATAAAAAAAATATATGAACATCCAAAACTATTAATGGAAGACATGAAAATGATGAATATATATGAAATTAACCAACACCATTTACCAACATCTAATTTTTATATAGAAATGTAACAACAGCTTGATTCCAAAAAACTTTAATGATAAATTTACAAAAAATGTAAACAAAAAATATTTACTTAGAATAAACCAATGGTTACTTATAAATACTTATAAATTACCAAGAATTAATAGTAAGTATTCTGA